GGAAAGCCTACGTTACAGTTTACACCCTCACTGTGCTAATCGGCTTTCCCACCAACCTGTTGGCTCTGTATGCTTTCATCCAGAAGATCAGAGTCAAGACCACGCCCAACTGCATCCTCCTCCTCAACCTGACCATTTCCGATCTATGCTTCCTGATTTTCCTCCTCTTCAAGATGGCGGAGCAGATCGCAGGCCGCTGGGCCCTCCCTTTTTACCTGTGCCCCTTTAGTGGCCTTGTCTACTACAGCACCATTTACACCAGCACACTCTTCCTCACCGCGGTAAGCGTGGAGCGCTACTTGGCTGTAGCTTACCCCATCCATTACAAGCTGAAGCGTCATGCAGTCTACGCCCTCATTGCCAGCCTGAGTATTTGGATCTGCTCTTTTGGCCACTGCAGCATTGTGTATATCACCGAGTACAACCGGGATAACTATTCCCATGACAGCAACGTCTGTTATGACAATTTCACAGAGAAGCAACTCCAGGTCCTGCTCCCTGTTCGCCTGGAGCTCAGCATTGCACTTTTTCTGGTGCCGTTCCTGATCACCTGCTTCTGCTATTTTGGCTTTATAAGAATAGTGGTCTCTTCACCACACATTTGCAGGAGCAAAAAGCAGCGAGCCGTGGCGTTGGTGGCAGCCACTTTCGCTGTCTTCATCATCTGTTTTACACCCTACAACATCTCCCATGTGGTGGGTTTTATTCAGGGGAAAAGTCCCGAGTGGAGGATCGAAGTCTTGCTTCTCAGCACTTTCAATGCCTGCTTGGATCCCATCATCTTTTATTTTTCTTCTTCCGCCGTGAAGCGTTCATGCTGTAGCTTCTGGACCAGAATAAAACACATTTGCATTTGGCCTCCTTTGCTCCATAAGCTCTTCAACAGAGGGACTGAGATAGTGGGCCCTCAGGATCAGATGTCCTCTACACGGCTATGACCTCCGGTTTCTTGGGGAATTCTTAAGTCCTTCTTTGTAGGCCAAGCCAAAAAATAATTGCACTGGGAATTACTGAGTTCTCCAGCCAGGCCTCCGGACTTGAAGCTTTCACATAGTGAATGTTGTTCACTGTAATTTCGGCAGCTTTGAGTTGAAGAATCTTAGACGGACTTCTCATCTTTTCGTTCTTGAAACTTAGAAATAGTCTTGCACAACTGCTGCCCCCACAGACTGAGAAAGGGTCTCATTAAAGCCAAAAAAGAAAATGGGGAAATAGGTTGAGGACTTCAAATGTACATGCTCAGGTACTCCAATGGTGAAATGCATTTTGGAGTTGTTCCAGTCTATCATTTGAGTTCTTAATGGCACCCAAGAGATTTTCCTTGCCTTCTTTCCATCTTCATCTAACTGGAGATACACATAATTTGCAAAAGAGCTTTTATTTCAGCTATTGTTGTGAATATATTTTGAATAGCTGAAGAGCGTATATCATGGCAGTAGCCAGTGAAATGGGAATCCTGGGAAATGTAGAACCTGAGGCCTGGATGTGACTACACAAGACAATACCATCATCTGGGAACTAGGGCAGGTCCTTATATGAGATGTCCTATGAGGGACACAGTGGCTCAGTGGCTAAGACGCTAAGCTTGTCAATCAGAAAGGACGGCAGTTTGGCGGTTCGAATCCCTAGCGCCCACCCAAGAGAATGAGCTCCCCTTATTTGTCCCAGCTTCTGCCAACCTAGCAGTTTGAAAGCAAGTAAAAATGCAAGTAGAAAAATAGGGACCAGCTGTGGTGGGAAGGGAACAACATTCGGTGTGTCATCAGCATTTAGTCATGCCGGCCAGAGGTGGGTTGCTACTGGTTTGGCCTGGATCAGCTGAACCGGTAGTGGGGGCAGGAGGCTCTTCCCACCCCCCCGGATGCTTCTGAGCATGCACAGAAGCATTGCGTGCATGTGGGGGAGCACACCCAATCTAGTAGTAAAAAAAAATTGGCAACCCACCTCTGATGCCAGCCACATGACCACGGAGATGTCTTTGGACAGTGCTGGCTCTTTGGCTTTGAAACAGAGATGAGCACCGCCCCCTAGAGTTGGGAAGCTAGCAAGGGGATGCGAGGGGAACCTTAACCTTTAAGATGTCCTAAGTTGTTATATCTGGTAGATAATTTTTAAAAAAACCACAAGAGGGCATATGTGGCAAGAATGTGAGGAAGAGAACATTTTTGAAATAAGCAGTATCTCATGTATAAATAAGATGTTGAATTATTTGCATTTATATCAACAGAGTTGCTCTTTTTGTAAAAAATCTGCATCAGAATAAGTAATATATATTTTGCGATTATTTAAGAAACTCTCTGAAGTTTTTTTTATTTTTATTTTGCACTTTGAAGGATCTCACCTGGTTTGTCATTGGAAAAAATAAACACAAGGAAGAGTGTATATTTATTAATGTAAAGGTTACTGGAAATAAATGGGCTTAAATATTCTGTGAAATTCCCAAAATGGAGGCTACCCAAGAGTTCCATGCCACTCAAGCAAGAACAGGGTTTGTGCCATGAATCTTTGGCCCAAATCCAGATTTGGATCCATAACCATACAGTACATTTTGTATCAGAAGGAAAAAAAAATCTGTTTATCCCAGTGAAAGGTTTTCTTGTTGAAAATTCCCAAGGATATGAAATGCAGCTTTAATCCTCAATGGGGTGGAGGAAGATACTTTCCCCATATTTTATAAGGACCCTATATTCGGCCTCCCAACTCATTTGAACAATAGCTACAAACAGAATTATATCTGCTTGGTCAGTGTATAGAACTGTGTTTCTCAACCTTGGCAATTTTAAGATGTATAGATTTCAACTCCCACAATCCTATGGGAATTCTGGTACAATACTGCTATCAAAAAGATAGCTTGCCTTGAGTTCTTTTCCCAATAAATGCACACGTTTAGCCATATCACACCAAGACGTTGTACAATGTGGTTTGAAGCACAGGTAATAAACGGGGAAATGTTTCCCCCATAAACTGACATGGAGAATTATGACTTGTTTGGTTTTTCAAATTTTGTAAGGTGTAGGCCATGGTGGGGGGGGGGAAAAGCAAAGAACACCTGTTTAATACAAACACATGTGGGTTGTGTTTGACCTTGGGGGGAGGGTGAGTTTAGCCAGGGTGGGCATGGCCAGCATGACGTCACTCGTGTTGGGGGCATCTATGGTGGCCCAAGTGCTTTGCCAGCAAAAACAGGCTTCTGAGTTCCATTTTCAGCTGCGATGGCCTCCTGCAACCCACTGCCAGCAAAACCTGAACTGGACATGGGGCCCTTTGAGCTTCTTCTTCTTCTTCTTCTTCTTATTATTATTATACAAATGTATCACAGCGGCCAATTGTTTCACCGGATTTGGCACTGGTTACTAGTCGGGCCCCACCCAGGGGCCTATGACGTCATAACATATTTTCGTAATATGCGTGCAGATCCAAGCAGTGCAGCTTTTTGCATTTGACTGATGGTGATTTTGTCAATTTTTAACTGTTTTAAATGTAATTCCAGTGCTTTTGGAATAGCGCCCAGTGTGCCAATTACCACTGGAATTACCACTGCTGGTTTGTGCCATAATCATTGAATTTCGATTTTTAAGTCCTGGTATTTTGCGATTTTTTCATGTTCCTTCTCGGCGACC